AGCTTGTTCAGGCATGAATTTAATTAGGCACACACAATGTCAGCTTTGGCTAAATATATTGGCACATTTGTACATTTTGTAATCCAAAACTTTATCATGTTTCTTTTAGTAGAAATGGTGGTTTACTAAAATTGGAGCCATATGCTGACATGAGTCCCACCATTTTAATTAGCCAAATCCTGAGACATTTATTCCACTGAGAATGATAATTTGAATTTCACCGTCCGTATGTCTGGTATGCTATTGCAAATTTTACTGCTAAATAAAGCAGTAGCCAACAACACAGAAACAAACATTTTTTTCCAGTAATATGCAGGCAATGTTCTTCAAGTAATGTATCCACAATTTCCATTTGTGTTTCTGATGAATTAAGTTGTACTTTTTGTTACTATAAATAGTTAAAATCTTAAGATATATTATAAACAATTCACATAAATATATGTTCAAATATATATGTTCTGTACTACACACTGAACGTGCAGTGCAAACAGCACATTTTTATCCATTTATAAACTTATATGAATTGTTTCATTATTGCCCCCACTTTTAAGTTCATAACTATTGGATATTAAACAATATGTTACTTTATAAAATAAAAGGAGACAGAGGATTTAGTCTCCTGTGTGACTTAATGTTGTTGGAAACATAAATTTAACACACGGAAACAATACAAGGGATGTGACCCATAAGAGCAATACTCCACTCTTACGCACATGTGGTTTGAATATACACTGAAATACATGGATTGTCAGTGAATCTGAGAAGTTTTATTTGGCGTCGGAACTACAAAACAGGAAACAAGAAGCAGGAGATTAAGAATGATATCCTTTAACCCAATAGTAAATATTACGAATGGTCATGTGACATGCATTTTTTGTAAATGGTAACTTCTTTACTATTCACGTGTGAAAGTAAAATCTTCATACAGATAAAATCAAGATGAAACTGGTCAGTATTCCAGAGATTTTAAAAGCACTGAATGATTTTGTCTCAGTTAAGGTATATTTTTTATGGACCCCATACACTTCCCGCCCTCTGGATCTAGAATTAAATCTCCCATCAATATTTCTCATAGTCTTTCCAGAAAAAATAATGTTTTATAAATAATTTCAGCTATCAGATTTTTTATGTAGAATCTGTTTCTGATTTTTTTTAAACCTAAACTAATTACAATTTTTCAGAATCTTGCAGTTTAAACTTGCTTTTTGGATTTAAAACAACAACATTCTGAATATTAGTTACCACACAGCTTGTTAGGATCTGTGGTGTCTTTACACTCTTAATATTAGATTTTTTTTTAAAAGCCCATGGGAAAAATAGATGGGAAATTGACTATATAGTAAAATATTTGCCAATGTCAGTATTCTGATTCTTTCAGTTTTACTTCAACATTGTCACATTGCCAGGACTATTAGAACACACTAAAACCTCCATAACAGACTTTAATCCATGTTGGTTGTCTCCAGGCTGTGGACTCTATATGTACACATAGCATTATCTTATAAAGACTTGCACACAGTTTTATAGCTTCATAAAACCACTGCCCTAATGCAAAATTATGTTGAGTATGGGCCATGTACTTTGGCAGGTCTCCAAGCTGTTTCACTGTGGACTTTATCGTTTTAGGTATACTGAAAAAAATTAGCAGTACAAAGTATACATTACACCATTTGTCACCACACTTAAAAGTCAAGTACTTTTACAGATTTCGAAATTGTGTTAAGGTTTGGGGCTGTCTGATATTTTCTTCTCAAACTGAGGTCAAATTCTTGGTTTGATGTCTCGCTGATGCACAACAGGTGCTTCTTTACAGAAAATATGTTATAAACATGGCGTTCCCAGGAAAGTACAGGACAAAAGGTTGATCTCCTTTACATCTGCTGCTCACATTACAACTGTCACATGTCGCAGTTAGAGTGTACAATGTCTTTTGGATCTGCCATGGTAGAACTAACTCTACCATGAAATTTTAAAATCCTTCAGTCTTGATCATCAAAATGGTAAACTGATGAATTTTGCAAATATGACATTGAACTTTGTTGATTCCGGGCACATGAGCATATGCATCTCAGTTAGGGAAGCTAAAATCCAGCTTTTGCATTTACGACACTAATTCTGATACTACATATAGCTAAAAGTATCTACTGATACCCAAGACAGAGAGACAGACAAGTTTATTTAAAAAGGCAAAACTGATCGAAATATGTTACGTAGTTGTTATTTCTCTCTCAAGTGTCTACAGAACAGCTTGGTGTATATAAAAGTAAAAAAAAACCAACTATGACCTGTAAATAGTGTTATTACATTATTGTGTATGTCCAATCAGGTTATCCTGTGAACTGATATTCGGAAGCTGATATCCAATCCAGCAAATTTGTCAGTACTGGCGCAGATAACCAATATACTGTATTGGTGCATCCATAATCTCATTTTTATGCTATAATATAATCAATAGCACTTCAATCTCTCTTCATGAAGGTTGTGTATTCAAGTCGGCTATGCCCTTGCAATGCGGTATATAAAAGTCAGATAATTCTTGAGTCTTGAATGAACAAGTGTGAGTCAGAGTGGATAAGTATGTAATGGGAATGCATGAATACAATGTGTCATGTGGTTTAAAAGCCAGGGACCCCCTCCGACTGCTTTCTAGTCCATTTGGAATATCTAATTGTGCTTTTAACAGACTCTGCATGACATCATATTACGTGACAAGTACTCTGATTCATTGCGGTATTTTGGCTTTTCTGGGAGGTTCACGTGGATCTCTAATATAGGAAAAGCTGGTTGGCTTGTCCCCTCCATCACGCTTATAGTAAGCAGGATGGACACATTATTAGTGAGTGAAAAGAGCATTACTGTTTAGTTTTGTTATTTACCTGGTGTAGACGACAGCTGGTAGACCTCCTGTGCTCAACTGTTGAGAGAGGCTAAGCAAACTCATGCAGGTTTTCTCGTCTATTGCCTGTCAGTCTCTCTCCTCACTCCCTCATAACCTGCTACAGTTGTCAGCGCCTGTAAAGACAAGAGCTGGTTGGAGTGAACTGTTGACACATTTCTTTAACTCATCTTTTAGCAAAGCCTTGTTACTAATGATTAATCTAGCTCAAACAGAGGAAGGACCACTTCCTAACTGTAAACTAACCCATAGGTCTGATGGCAGGCGAAGCTTTCTGTTTTTCACCAGCCTGTCATGCTTTGTGTCAACAGTCATAAGCAGGGACATAGGCGTAATAATAACTGTAAAAAGTGAGCGGATTTTTACAGACAAAAACATAGGTAGTCAGTCAGTGGCTATTGAGTCTAATTTCTAATTTCTTTGTTGGCCTGTTACAAATGTTTACCAACACTTGCCAGGAACACTGGTCAGCAAAGAAAAAAAAAAATTCCCGGACAAGAAGAAATGTGGAATGTCTACTGCTTTGTATCATGTTAATGTCAGAAAATTGAAGTTATCACTTTTTTTCCAGCTTTTATCTACTTGTATAAAATATATATGAAAAATGTGGAGATATAGACTTAAAATGTCACATCCAAGGCACTGACATTTTAAAAAATTTTTGTCTGTGGAGTTTTCGCTCAACTAACATGTACATAACACTTTATACTGCGTAGGTCAAAATGAATGTTCCACACCATATTGAGACTTTGTTATATCAATACCATATGGGCTCTACAATCAGATATACTTTGGATGTACTGTTAGCAATTACATCTTCTTGGACTCATCTTTATTCTTGAGTATTTTGTACACAATCTTTAAAACAGTCTGGGTTTGTTTTTGCCAAACCATAAAACAAACAAATAGCTTTGGGAGGACATCCAAGGTATGTCCTTAAAAAAATCAGGAAGCCCACCATAGCATCCCCGTCTGCCTCTAAAGACATGTGTGTCGGAGGTGCATTTGGACTCGTTGTGATTCAGTGCTGAAGTAATCCCATAAGTCAAAGATGCTTTCTAAACAGCACTGACCCCTGCCCCTCTACACTGCTCTGTTTATGCTGGCTACACTGGCATTAAACACAAGCCACATATTTTTAACATCAGGATTCTCCGGCTCTCTCTGGTCTGAGTAAAAAGTAAGCTGCCCGTCAGACTGGATCAATCAGTGCAGTGCATGAACCACTTCCATATGTTTCATATTGGGACCAGGGTTTAATAAAGGCAAAATGTGACAGCCACAATGCTTTGAAATCCAATTTTTTTTGGCAGTTTAGGAAGTCAATGGATTTTTATTCATGTTAAAGCCATAAATGTAAATTTTGATTTCTATACTCAAGAGAACTTGCTTTAGTTACTGTCTGGTAATGAAACAAATCCAAAAACTGTCATGGTATACAAAATAGCATGTCTTTATATTAGCTGTATTGCCTTGCCAATCAGTGTGTTTAAGATTCATTGTACTAAAACAGATGTTTTTAGAGTTATTTCTCAGGATTAATGTGACATCCTGCAAAATAATGCAACACTGACCTCTAAAGGCCACTGTGAGTGTAATCAAAATGCCATTTAAGCCTGCTTTTGACTTCATCAGACTGTTACACTGAATTTAGAAAGTGTATATGCAGAATACTTTCCCTTGTTTTCAAAGAGTTTTTTACTAAGTTCTAAGGTTCAGACTCTTACAATTTGTTTTAATCTGATTATAAAATATATTTGAATCTGATGTGTTTGTAGGCTGCTTGCATAATGTCAAAGTCAGACAACCTCACACACTAATGCTCAGCTCCCCTCAGTGACCCTCTGGTGTGGCTTCAGACTCTAAATATTCCAACGCCCAGACACCATCAGCGTCATGGTTCATGTGCGACACATGTGTGTGAATGAAAGGGTTTGTGGTTAATGAGGGCACTGTAGATTACACATTGTCATAAACTAATGCTTTGAGGTTAGGAGGTTAATATATTCAGTTAACTTTTAAATAAGTGTTGTCAAATTTACAAAAAATATTTTAGTCTTCTTTCATTTGAAGACTCTTTAAATGTTATATCTGTGTGTTGTAGAGCTGTGGTTGAGGGGTCCAGGTGGCAGGCATGAGGGGCCCGGCCTGCAGAAGAGACTGGCTCTAGAGTCCACAGAGGCTCCCACTTCCACTGGACACATTCCACAGGTACAAGCCTAAAACACTAAAACACTCCACAACACTCAAAGCAGACCAGTGGCCGGGCCAACTTAAGGGCCAAAGATATCCCCTGGTATGAGGGGGAAATGAACTAAACATTTGGAATAAACAAGAAAGGAACGACATGACTACAGACTTTCCTTTTGACCTTCAACATACCTTGTTTACAACAGAACATCATGTGTCTAACGTGCAAGGGGTACAAAAAGAGATGTAGCATTAGATTCTGCATTATTCAGCTAAGAACAGACTAGTGTTGTTACACTACTAAAATGTTCAGTTCTATTTTAATATTCAGGGAAATACTTTCTACTGATTTCAGTACCACAATAACCCTAAAATATCTCTAGACAATAGACTGAAATGTAAAATTATCACACTTTCTTTCATTTTAAATTGTGGCCTGGTACTAGTTCTTATAAAGATCAAGACATTTTTAAATCTATTTGGGAAATGTTCAACTTTGTTATATTTAGTCTGTTACAATGTATAGTGTATTTAAGTGTATTTATTGCTTATGTTTCTTTTCTCTTTTATCTAGGACGTGTGCCCATGAGGTCGTCATCACTGGTCCTGCTCCTCCTGATTGGCATCCAGGCTGTACTCAAAATCGAAGGTGGATGGGCCCACAAAACAGGGCCAGCCAACCACAAAGCAGCACAGCAGATGGGAGCCAATCACAGAGCAGTACACCAGCATCAGGCAGCAGGCTCCAAATTGTCTTCTCCAGACCATAACAGGAATGGCCACCACAGGACCAAGAAGCACCATCATCATCAGCATCAGTATGCAGCTACCGAAAATCTGGAAAGAAGTTCAACCAATTTCCAACCAGATCCGTCCATCCCTGTTGTAGATCCCAAACTCTTTTCCAAAAGACGTTATAGGCCATCGCCTCGAGTTGTTTTCAGTGAGGTTGAACCCACGCATGATGCCCTGGAGGGTGAGGGCTTTGATGTGGATGGGATAAGGGGTACAAGAGTGCGGCGGAGAGCAGGGACACACACCATGCACAGAGGGGAGTACTCTGTCTGTGAAAGCATCAACACTTGGGTAGGCAACATGACATGGGCGACGGATATTAAGGGCAATGAGGTGATTGTCCTTCCCAATGTTACAATCAACAATGTGGTCAAAAAACAGTTCTTTTATGAGACCACCTGCCGATTCCCCACACACCGGAACGCGGGAACTGGCAACGCAGGAAGGCCAGGACGGGGAGGAAAACAGGGCTCTAAATCTGGCAACTCTGGCTGCTTAGGAATCGACAGCCGCCACTGGAACTCTTACTGTACCAACACACACATATTTGTAAGCGCTCTCACCCTTGACAAGGATCGGACAGCTTGGAGGTTTATCCGCATCAATGCCGCTTGTGTGTGCGTCCTGAGCAGGAAGTCCTGGGCGGGACGGGGCCCCAAACACTGAACACAATGAACATTTCCATTAAACAGCCACAACAGCATTATTGCCAATACTGTAAAGCCTAAACAAAGACATTGACAAGGAGTTTCTGTCACATCACATTATCTTTATCAATTCACCTCGCTCCTGGCCCTACCTCAGTCCAAACGTTCTGGTTCATTTAAGTTATGTGGACTGCATGTCATATTTATGGTTTATACATACAAATATAGTATATACAATATGAATCCAAGCTTTTATTGTTGTTGTTGTTGTTGTTGTTGTGTTGTTTAAGCTGTTATTTATTAAACACCTCAGTACTTGCCTGGGTAGTTCTGTGCTGGATTTAAGGCAGTGGCTAAACAACGTGGTCAAGGTGCTCATCCACACTGTTGGTGTGTCCTTGGGCAAGGCAATTCATCTATCCTGTCTGGTATGGATGTTGTGTGCATGTGTGATTTGTGGAGGTCAGCAGTGCTAACAATAGTATAAAACTGCAACCCGGAGGCACAACACTCACTCAATGTGAGGGTGTGAGGGTGGCACTGTTGGTGTGAGTGCTGTGCATCCAGTTTGCAGTTTCACTCTACTTGGTGCCAGTGACAAATTAAAAGCCTCGCTTCCGTCAGTCTACCTATGAGGCAGCTATGGCCACAGAGGAGCATACCACCAAGTATGGAGCGAATGAATAATACACTGTGAATCGCTTTGACTATCTTAAACATGAATTTAGGGTATTATTATTATTCAATGTTTGACATGGTCACAGTGGAGTGATTTAATATCTTCAGAAATATTTATGTTATGTCAAGTGGCTGAATGGGCTCTTAAGTCATTTTTACCATTTATAATGTTAACATTTACATTTTGTATTTGTGTCCTATGCCTTTGCACATTTTAAAATGGTCACATATGTTGGTACAAAATGACTAGAGTAAAACTACAACATTTAGTTCACTAGAAAATTGAGTGTGCACATCCTTTGCATTCTTGTGTGTGTGAGCAGCCAGAGGTGAGGAATGTTCTTCAGGCCGCTCAGTGCTCAGCTCAGGTTTATACACACAGGAAGATATATGGACAAGGCAGACAAATGAAGAGGAACAGCTGTGGGGCCATGCCAAACTGTGGACTAAAGAAAGGCTCCAGGAGACAGTCAGGGTTAGTGCTGTTCTACACTGATGTGAGGAAATGAAGTATTTATATATGAGCATGCTGCTTGGTTTCTAATTGAAAAGTATATACTGCCCTCTAGTGGACATTTACAAAAATGGCTAAATATTACATTAACAATGCAACTTCAAAATTAGCATTAGACTCAACTAGATAAAAATAAACTAAAAGGTCAATTAGTAAGATGTGGTTGCTCCCATTTTCAAATAAATGCAACCACTACTAAACGTACAACTAATTTGTGTCTCAGTAAAGTAAAAACAGCATTTACATTCCCCACCTGAGGTTTGCGAAGTTCTTCATCAGCCTCATCGGCATCTTGATCAAGGACGAAGGGCTTTGGAGGAAGAGGTCACTGTCAGGGAATGCAAAATTTGAGTTCATGTTCAGGTGGTTGGTATGTCGTGTACTTTGTGAATTTTGCACTCATCATCTTCATAGAAGGTATAAAAGAGGTCAGTTTTAATTAAAAGTTAATCAAGTGTCATAGACCCAAGAATCACGATCACCCTCATTTTCGACTTTATACTCAACCAACCTCCAGACACTAAAAAGAAACACATGATATATAAGAAAAGGAAATTTTGGTCGACCATAAAGTCATTTGTCTCATCTTCGGTCTCACGGCGCCATGTCCTGATCGTTTCCCGCTCTTGGCGTCCACGTGGTAAAAACCAACCAATGAGAGTTTGGTTGAGTAGCAGATTACCATTTTATTATTATAGTTCAATTAACATGTGCACAGTGTATACTTTAGCTAATGTTGAAAGTTTCCTTTTAATCTAATTAATCTAATGTGTGAATTTAATCATAATTCTATTTAAGGTCCAGATCATCATGTCTCCATAATATTAATGTCGAGCTGTAGCCTGGCTACTCTAAACTTCTAATCATAGTATACACCTACTTCATTTCATTGAGGCTGTTACAGACTATAGGCCTAGTTATTTTGACCAGTTTGATTATTTCAGTGTGAATTATTATACTTGAACATACAGTGTAGGCTAATTTACATCTGTTCACATTGAAGCAGCCATAAGCCTGTCTTATATATCTTGTTGAAAAGCTCCCCTCGAACAGCATGCAAAGTTAAGCAGTAGGCCACTGTTGATATTTTATCAGCCTTGTTAGTTATGTTACAGCCAAAATAAATCCTCCCTGTAATCTGCACACTCCAATAAATGTGGATCACAAAAATAAAAGTCATAGTGTGAGCAATAGGCCTAACTCTTGACATACGTGTATAAAAAGGAGTTAATCTATAATCACCACATTATTTAAATATTTGTCATTCTCCTTACTCCATCTATCATTAAGCCTCCACTTTCCCAGAGCTTGGCAGACCAATCTGTTCCTCTATAAGGACATTTTAAACCACCGTCTAATCCCCACTCATAAAATAAACAGTTATTTGGACATTCCCTTCACTCGCCATGGTGTAGGGGGAAATATTTATGTTCAACAAAATGTCCCTGAGTTGAGTTACAGACACCAGGGCTTTTCCATTCTGCCGTTTGTATAGTAATAGGCCTAATGTAGTAAGACCTCTATGGGATGAGTAACACATTTGGCATACATAGGAATGAACCTGACAAGGGCTCTGGTGGTTTGGAGTACTTGTATGCACTTCACTGATGTTGACTTTTCCACCAGGATGGAAAAGCTGTAAGCTTGAGAGTGTTTTAGCACCATCTAGTGGTGAAAGACTATACTTGTAATATAATAATGTATAATCTAAAACAAAGACCAAATCCTTTATTCAATGGCCCCAACATCATCTGTATGAATACTTTTTTTTTTACACTGGTTGCCATTTCTGACACATTTTAAAGAGGGATTGGGTGCATAATCCATACACAGTGTTGGGGAGTAACGGATTACATGTACCGCCGTTACGTAATCAGAGTACAAATTATGAGTAACTGTTTTCCGTTACAGTTACTGTTTCAATGAGTGGTAATTGGATTACAGTTACTTTGCTGAAATAAGTGGATTACAAGGCGGTATTTTCCTGTTTTCACATTTTGTGCTACATCCCATTTATTTATTTTTTTATTTCGGTAATTTCACTCATTGCCTGAAGCCCAAACAGAACGCGCGCAATAAGAGCGATGGAAACGTCATGTTAAAGTTGGCGGTGTCAGTCACACAGTGGAAGCAGCAGTGCATTGGTAAAAACGCATTTGTGTCTTGGAAATTCTTCTCCCGATGTGAGATATATATATATAAAAAAAAAACAAATATAAAATCGCCTACAACTTAAATGTGAAACCGGAGCTACTGGCACTGGTGAAAACAACCTGCATAGACTCATAATATCTGCACTACTGTCCTATAATGACCTGCCACATGAGGGGACACACACACACACACACACACACACAAACACACACAAACACACACAAACACACACAAACACCTTCATCATCGTCATCAACCTGAGAACCCGCGGACCACGTCTCCTTCCGTAGTTACAGCGCGACACCGCCGTCTCGTGCGCCGCGTGTGGACCGTGTTTTCTCGCGTAAACCGCACTTCCTCCTGTGCGCCTCTAAACCAGAACTAACACCAGGACTAAACCAGGACTAAACCGGGACTAAACCAGGACTAAACCAGGACTGAACCAGGTTTAAACTAGGACTAAACCACGACTAAACCAGAACTAAAGGCCTGGTCTAGACCAGGTCTAAAAATCAGGACTAAACCAGGACTAAACCAGGACTAACACCAGGACTAAACCAGGACTAAAGCAGGACTGAACCAGGTTTAAACTAGGACTAAACCAGAACTAAAGACCTGGTCTAGACCAGGTCTAAAAATCAGGACTAAACCAGGACTAACACCAGGACTAAACCAGGACTAAAGCAGGACTGAACCAGGTTTAAACTAGGACTAAACCACGACTAAACCAGAACTAAAGACCTGGTCTAGACCAGGTCTAAAAATCAGGACTAAACCAGGACTAAACCAGGTCTAAACAACATGACACCTAACAGTAGGTTGACATAATTTAAGGTGATCTCATATAATTTCTCTATCAATAATATTTTTTAATATGGTGAAGGAAAGGCTGATCTTGTTACTGTCTTTTAACAGACAAAACCTCTTATATTAAGATATCGTGGTCTTTGTTTCTCAACAGCAAACAGTTGCTTATTCATGGTGACTTGGGCTCAGACAAATTGAAGACAACAAACACGAATTTTGAGGATGTGGTTGCTACATTCATGTCGTTTAAAAAAACATGACAATATCAAGTAATCCAAAGTAATCAGATTACGTTACTCACTTTAAGTAATTTAATGGATTACGTTACAAATTACATTTTGGGGTGTGTAATATGTAATCTGTAGGGGATTACATTCTAAAAGTAACCTTCCCAACACTGTCCATACATAATCTTTCTGAAGGAGCTATTACGCTGTCTACTACGGAAATAGAGCCTCTAACTTTCCAATACAAGGTTTATGCCAGAGCAATACACTTAAATAACAATAAACTTTGCCATTTTGTATTGAAAATAGTAGTGTAGTCCCAATAATATTTGGCTAAAATTGATGCGGGATATGTTTAGCCTGGAAATTTTTGACCTTTGTGTTGCTCATGAACAAAGAGCAGTTTAGTCTGGACGCTGGAGAGGTCAAACAGCTGGCAAAAGTTATATTTACCCATCCGAAGTATAGATATTTGTCACATATGTCATTATACCCATAGTGATAATATTCAAAAAACAAAGCAGATCAGCACTGAGTTGTGGTGATGAGAGCATTCAGGATCCCATTGGAGTTTATTTGGGTGGGGACTTTAGACCACTTTCCATGATTCATTTGTTTAGAATGAGGTTTCTATTTGTTCTTATTCAATATTGCAATAGTGTTTGTTTTATTGATTATACCTTTTAAAGTTGTCCAAACGCCATTTATTGGGGAGTTTGCTTCTCAAAAGTGTTACTTGGTGTCACGCATTGACTGAACTCACAAAAATAATTTTCATCTCTGTGGACATGGCCTAGTTGCTCTGTGGCTTTATTTGAATCATGACCAGTGTCTGCAGAACATTTGTGCCAACACTTGCCATGTGCCCATCGTGTGTCACAGTCCCCCTTGAAGCCCCCCTCTGCATTATTGAAATGGGCGGTCTGGAAAGAGTCGGATCTTGCGGTGTTGTGCGCGCGCATGTGTCTGTGTGTGTGCGCGAGAGCTCGAGAGGGGAGAGACGCTGCTGCTATTGATGCTCGGCTCTGGTAGCTCAGGGTGGACCGTTATTGTCACATTGAGCTAAGCCCGTGCCCTGCGATTTACGGCCAAAACTAAAGTGAAGGAAGCCAAACATCCAGCCGCCATGGGGAAAGTGGAAGGAGGAATGAAGTGCGTGAAATATCTACTGTTCGTGTTCAACTTTATCTTCTGGGTAAGTGCCAATAAGGACGCATTTAGTGTACGTAATCAAAGTGTAGCAAGTGCAGCACTTGTGCATACGCGGCTTTATCACAACCACGTGTCTTTCTGCACTAAAATCAATAATGCCGCGGGTTTTCTGTTGCGTTTCCTCGCGTTATTTATTTATATTTGGTTTGTGTTGCGTGGCGCGTAAAGGGTGACAGTCACTAGACGTTTTTAACTTTAGGCTCACCGGGCGGGTTTAAATCAGATTTTCCACAGTGGGAAAAACCCGCCCCTTTTCCCGGAGAATAGTGTGTTTTTGAAAGGAAGACTGAATGAAGAGACAGAATAAAAGAAAGAGTGAAAGGCGACATGGAAACAACCAATACATTTCCACTCTGCAATGCTGAAAAGTTTCGTCAAGTTATACTTCCTCTTTTAGCAGGAGCGTGGAGAGCGTCAGTGCCCCATGCAGGCAAGCTACTGTCAGGTGGATGTGAAAGGTGTGCGTTTGAGTGGCCACTTCTTAACTACAAAAACAACTTACATCTTATAACCTACAGTTCCAACTAAAGGCTCCTCTGCAGACAATCCGATTGTGCTCAGTGATGCAGTGTTTTGAATAATGCAATAACAATATTTTGTCACTCTTGAGGTTTCAGTGAATTTCTCCATAAATGGAAATAGGGTTAGTTTATGGCCTAAGCATTACAGAGGAGTCACAAGGTTCTCCTCTTATGGTAAAACCTAAGACTTTGTCAAAACATAACTATAAAAACGTGAACATAAATAAAAAGAAGGATAAAAAATCCTTGGAATTTTTTTGCATATAAAAATCCAACCACAAGCCAGTGCAGGCAAACAACTTTTTAGTTCCATTATTAAATATTTGTCTGTGATGTGATTATGATTGTGCTATATAGTTTGCAGTTCTGTATTGGTAGTGCTCACTGTTCTGCCCGGTTACTGACACTTTTACTATCTGAAGGAAAAGTGTGTTTAAGCACTGGTGAGGTTTTCCACTGAGCATCTGTGCAGTGCATCAGGCAGAGAGCAGGCTGAATGGATCTATTGTGACAGCGGGACAATGGCATAACTTCTATATGTTACTCCTGCCAGCCCCAAAACAGGAGACAGCTACCAGTATCAAAACCAACTCGCCTCATTCATTTATTATTCCCACTTAAGCCCCACTAATAACACAGAGCCAAAATACCTTAGATATTTCATTTGACTAAGAATTTCCTCTACAATCGCAGGCATATTTGTTCCTTGTACTCAATATTTGTTTTTATTCAGTCTGCACTAAATATATGTGATAAATTGTGAGCAGAGAAAAAAATCATCTTAAATCTTTTTTTAAAACTTTTTTAATGAATATTTATGCAATGTATTCTGTGATGCTACACATTTTCCAAATCATTATGCAAGATGTTCACTTGAGTTAGACAACATTTCAAATTGATGGTACTTAATTAGAATTCACTGTAGTGTCTACTTCTGCAAATCATTGACAACTACAGGCAGATCAGTTGCATCTGTAGAGAAGGGGATTAGCACTGAGAGAGTGAGATATTTCTGTGTCAGTTTAGTCAGATGGAAAATGAGGACAGTTGGCATCGTGTTGACCCAAATACAACAGATAAGGGCTGCTGGATTTGCAATGAAATTGTTATTATAAAAAATATGCATAATTTACTGGGTTGTAGCTTTTGCAGAAACTTATGGCAAATTACAGCATATAGTCAGTTGACAGAATACTAGAGAATTCTAGTCACAATTGCATCAAATAATCAGAGCCTCCTACTGAGTGTGCCCACTCCCCCTCCCTCCCTGTCCCGTTTGTGGATGATCAGAAAGTGCATATGCTCAAAGACAGTGGAGGAGGGGCAAACTCCTCTGATTGTTCTCAAATCCCACAATAAATAAAGCTGGGACTTAAGTGTGCTTTCACATAACATATAAGACTTCTACTGCAACTTTCTACAGATCTTTCTTGTGGTTTCTTAAGATATACCACAACTTCCTAAAATAAATGTTACAGGATAGAAAACCCTAGAATAGAAAATTGGGGGCACTTGCTAGTTTGCATGCATTTTTGATAGAAATGTACTGTCTCTGGCATGCTTGAAATCTGTTTTATTTATGTTTAAATTAATAAACTTGCACTCAAATTAAACATGAAACACAAACATCATTTGCGATCTTAAAGCCTCTTCTTCATGCGTTTTTTATTATTATATAATCTTTCACCAGTTCTTATAGTTTAAAAATATCTCCAACCTGGCTGGCACTATGTAATTGTCCTCAGATCTCCACCCTCCACCTTCACCCACGTCGCATCACGCTCACAATGGGATTTTCTCCACCCATATAATTATCCTGCTCCTATTTACACTTTCTCTCTGCCCATCACTTTTAATACGCCTCTGCATCTGTTTTCTCCAAACACACTGCAGACAGACTGTTATATTTGTCCAATGGAACCACTGTAATTACAACTTGATTAAAAAAGCAAGCTTAGCCATAGTTTTGAGTGTAAGAATATATTTACAGTAGAGGACACAGTGAAGTGTGTCTCGCTCAGACCACAGCCCCTTCTCATGGAAACTCCCCTCACAAAAGCACTATTTAACAGCTCTGTTAAAAAGGGAGGCTGCACTCGCAAAAAGGACCTTGATTAAAGTTCTAACCAGAGATGGAAAAAGTACTTTCAGCCGGTACTCAAGTAAATGTTTGGCCACTTCAAAATATTGTTTCCCAAGTTTAATGATTTCCAAGTGTTGCCAATTGAATTACCAATGCTCTCCTAATTTTGGATAAAAAGATGAGTGCAAAACATGCAAATGTGTCACATATAACAGCCGTAATGGCTTATATGTTAAATCAAGAAGCAAAGTCACAGTTGTCACATTGCTTGTTTATTTCCTATATAAATTTTGTACACTTCCTCTAAGACACTTAAGACAAAGACGCTTTAATTTACTGCATGGAACATATAATATTGAAACACAATCATTTCAAGTACCCCCTGCTTTGTGCTTATACCTCTGCTTGAAAAACACTTGGCTAAAACTCTGTGCCCAGAAAAAAACATAAAAAGAAAGCAAAAAAGCTGAATATAGTTTCTTTCCACCTTCACCCCCTCTAGCCATTTCCATGTCAAAAATACCTCTATGTTTTTACTCAGGTGTCAAAATGATTAATGGTTTTGAGGTGTGCGCTTTTGGAGAACGGGATGTTACAGTAGCAAGTAGCATCTTTCCTATCCTTCAAAACTTGACACGGTACTGACAAATTTATTAAGTGATTTTTCTGTAATTTTTTTCCTCTCAAATTCACTTCCCATTGTGTCTGTCATATGCCATTGTGGCCCAGATCCCCTACTCTTTGGTAGACAGTGGCTCTTTGTTGCTGTGGGTGCGGTTTGGAGGTAGCTGGGTAGCGTAAGGGGGGCACACATGCAGATAAGTGCATTGTTTTTTTGTTTTTTTGCAAAGGGGAGGGTTGTGTCTGCCTTCGAGACAAGCCTAATGATGCTGGCCTGGGGGGCATGTAACTATTGAGGGGGTTAATGGGACCTCTGGGATAGACAGGTTGGGAGTGCCAGTCTACAATGTAATGTGGACTACTATTTGGCCTTGTATACTGTTGGAGATCTAAACTTTCTTAGCTTTCAAGGCTCTGGACATCTGTTCAGTCCAGGCCTTTAGATATCATTATAAAACTAATTGGGTTTGGCTGAGCTCTAAGCTTTTAGCAAATGGGAAAGCAACCACCTGCTCTAGTGCAGCAACAACAACAACACATGGTACGCTACCTTTATCTCAAAAAGGAGACAGTGAAAGGAGGCTCACAGCTCACTGTACATTAAAGGTTTTAGACTGGATATTTCCATAACAATTTGAACTGAACAATTCTAGTCCAATCTGCATAAAGTTGCATAAGATTTTTAGGATGGTTTACGATATCATTTTGCATAATTAGACTTTCTTATTTAATTATAGATCTGTTCTCATCTTGATTTAGTTGTTGTTCCTGGTTTATTATAACCTAGTAATTAAGAGGATTTGACAGTAGCTGAGTTGGAGTGTTTGTCCACTGATTCGAAGGTTGGTGGTTTGAATCGCGCTTTTAACATAAACAAAGTGCTGTCATTGTGTCCTTGGGCAAGACACTTAACCCACTTTGCTCCCAGGGTCTGCGTGTCTATGTATTTTTGTGTGAATGAGTGTGTGGTTCCTTGATGTAAAGCTCTTTGGGTGCCTTGAAGGTGGAAAAGCACTACTGACCATTCATCATTTATTCCTGACTGGTTTAATTTGGGTCCTTAAAATACCTTACAGCAGTAATTCACATAGCCTACTGACCAATTTTGCTACAATAAAACCCTAAATGCATTAATAAATAAGTTTCGAAGGCACATTACATTATTTGAAATTTTTTGTAGTTAACTGCAGACATAAACCGTGATATGTTGATCTTTGGATGTCACTGCTGTAAATATATTCATGTGCCTCAGTGCCTCAAGAATGGCATGAGGCGTTCAAACAAATACCAGCAATAAATTCATTTCAACATGTTTTATCCATCTATTCCAGTAAGTCAACACATCCTTTATTTGCCCTCTTAACATTGGATGAGACTTCTTCCAGAAATGTCCAATACTTCAGCTGTTCCATACATCATCCCTTACAATGGTAAATCATTATTTTGGCAGGTGTCCGGCACTCTCGCACCTGTCAAATTTCTGTGCTTTACAACTAAACGACTGGCCCTCTCTCAGACCTGGGCCATAAATATTACTGTGGAAAGAGAAGAAGTGGAAAAGTGTGGACAGCAAGGAAGGGACAGAAAATAAAAAGGAAAAACTAGGCTGACTGTGTATGAAATTAGAACCATGACCTAAACTTAGCAACAGAGTTTGTTTTTGTAAAGGAATTAATAAAAAAAAAAAAAAAAAAAGCTTTAGTAAGGCACAGGATATGACCAGATTTTCTTAATTTTAACCTAAGACTTAATTTCCTGTTTGCAAAAACTTTTTTGTAGACCCAGTTGTCCCACTGGGGAGCAATTATTGTTGACAACAATACAAGTATAAACTAATAATTACTTTTCATAATATATATTTCTTATTATGCTCAGGGGATTTTTCTTGAAGGAAATGCCATATGGCTCCATAGATGCAAAGTGCAAGATGCAAAATATGAACCACAGAATTTCCATGCGAACAGCCGGGTCTGTTTAAACTCAGGGTACCACACTGCTGTCTTCTGCCAACTAGTCATTTTCTGCATAAAGTAAATATGATTTTCAGTAGTTTGGTCTAAACAACTCACAGGATGCATGAATTGCTTGGTACATTGAAATGCACCACCGTATGTAATATTTGGGTCTAACTATTTATTAAATTTTTTTGTCTTTAATGAACCAGGCCTGAACTATTGCCATATGCAAAAAAAAATTGCCTCAATCTGTGTCAGGTCCAATTTACTCTGGATTTTCTTGTACTGATTTATAAAAACACTCAAATCAACAATATGAATTAATTTAGTTTAGATACAGCTCTGCATTCATATTAAATGTGCTGCAATCTTTGCTTTATGTCTGTGGAAAAATATGTTCTGGACCAAATAGAGCCCTCATGAGTCCTGGAAAACATTCCCCTCTGCATTTTCCACTGCTGTAAACAAAACATCACTAATGCCAGAATAATCTTAATATAAACCATGCAATTATCTGTAAAATCTATTCAACATGACGTAATGGACAAAGAGTCTCCTATTAAAATATATGAATAGGATTACATGTCTGTAGCCCTGTAGAAGCCCTCATCATAATGAGTGATTTTGCTTACTTATTTTGTTGTGTGCATCCGACAATTTAGCATTTTTCCACATCGCTGTTTGTTATCTAACCATGTTTTTGTCCCTTGTTGACTTCCATAGATTATGGGGTCTTTCGTGCTGGCGGTGGGACTGTGGCTGCGCTTTGACCCAGAAACCGTGTCCCTGCTGAACGGAGACAGAGCTCCAGACACATACTTTATCGGTGAGCTTCACACAGTGTTTACAACAACACTACACAAGTTATTCATTTACTTTAATTATGGCACATAGGTAGCCATTCCATTCAGCTATAATGAGAAATACACCAGAAATAGCCCCAAAGTTCTCTGCTGGACTTGTTCCCGTTCATTAATGATTTTTGGTGTACACCAACACATTTATTAACTTATTAGAATCACTGAGGCCACTCAGCCCAGCCATAGGGAACGCAAGTCCTATTATTACAACATAAAATCGCTGGAATAGATTGAAGTGTATATTATAAAATTTTTCTTTGATGTTTTATATTGATCTGAAAACACATGTTATTATTGATGGAAGGGTGAGTTTCTGAAAAAATGCAGAGGATGGGTGTGAACAGGAAATGACTGTTGTACTTATGGTGCAAATGGATGAGGTAAACCGCCTGGCTGGTGCTAATCATTTCAGTCAACCTAATGCAACACAGAAGGGTGGAACAACGTGGGAACAAAAACAAAATCTGTTTTACCGTAGTAGCCTCATTTGATCTTAGCTGAATAGTTTTTGAAAGGTTTTCCATTGTCTTATCAATGAAGTCTAAAATTGTATTGTTTTTTTTCTATGTCAAAGGATATTTATTGGTATTAACATTTTTCAGCAGATGCAAAAATATTCAAACATTTCTCTTACTGCTGAGGTTAATAACTGGCCTGTCATTACAATAGTTTTAATAATGAATTAATCTTATTTTCCAGATGCTCAAATACTATAAAAATGTGTGTATTATTCACTTATTATAAAGTTGGTACAAACTAATAGACACGATAGAGGAAGTGTCTTGCATTTGGGCACAACAGTATATGTGGTAAACAGTATATGGTATTCCCAGCTGTCTCCCCTCCCAGTGCTAACCAGGCTTGACACTGTTTAACTTCAGATATCAGATGAGATTGGGCATTTTCAAGATGGTATGCTTGTAGAAAGTTTGAATATCATTCAATATTTTAAAAACCTATGGCAAAGCCCGTTAAGTAAAGATATTTGTGGATAAAATCCACAAATTACTAACACATGAAAAAACAGACCTGAGAGATGATCACATATATGACGAACTGCATTATTGTCCATCCTTCTTTAACAGCTCAGTACTTATGTGTAAGGTTGTCTGTAGATGCCCCTGTATGGTACATTGCTGTAGGAGTAATGGCTAACAAGTCATCATGTGTGCACATGTTTTTGACAGTGAAGTCTTAAGTCACTGACACAGCTGAACATGCTCGACTCTACTCTCTTCTGTTTCTATGGCAACACTAAAATTCATGACCTGACCAAGTTGCAGAGCATTTACATAAACCATAACTTTGACCATTATTACTCAGCAACGTTGCCAAATAATATTGTAGCCTATTATTGGTCTTCCACCACCTAGATTGTCTTTTAAAAAGTATCAATCGCACAAGAAGTAAAACAAGTGTCAACAATAACAACTTGTTCTTTTTATTGTTAGCCCGTGATCCATGACCTGCCTTATCCTCAAATCCCTACTGTGCATCGTCACCTGGGGTCTGCCATGCCCTCTGTCACCCCATCCTCTATGGTGGTTGCCTTGGAAATGACACTTCCTAAAAAGTGCACAGCTCCTATTTGCATGTACTAAGTAGGCCTACTTACTTGTACTGCACAAGATATGCAAATCTATTCTATTTTAACATCACTTTAAATCAGTTTGTTTGGTTTTTTTTGTATTTTAACTGTGTTTCTATATATTGTTACTTAATAAATCTTCCTGACTTGTGCTGCTAAACTCTAGGCCATGTCCCCATTGAAAAAGAGATTTTTCCTGGTGAAATAAATAAAAAATAAAAAAAAACTGGTGGAATCATATTAAAACAAGAAGCTAAATGTTGAGTATTTGGCTGTCTTTCTATGGCACTTGAACTTGCAGTGTAAAAAATATGGCCAACTAGCAACATATATAGCCCTATAGTATTTGGCGTAATGTCATACTGTACATTGCATAAAGAGAAAATAACCCATCCCACTTACAGACACTGAGATACTATTTAAAGACACAAGTGGATACGCTCTATATAAAGATCTGACAAAGCACCAGCCACTATGTCTCACTAGATAAATGTGCACCAAAATAGAGCCAAATGTCATTGCCTTTGGTCTAGTATATCTCAGAGTATAGAAACATGTAGTCTGCAGCCCCCTACTGGTCATAATGATAATTACACAGGCTTAACCAGTATCAGTTACGATTTAGATGAAAAATATTTTACATAGCCTTTTAAATATGATAGATATAAGGAATACAAGATATCCGAGTTTATTGTGCAAAAATAAATGGATATATTATAAGTGATAGATTATCATTGAGTCATGAGTCATGTTGTGGATTCATCATTCCATTCAAGTTTATCTATTTATTTGCTATGTATTATGTGTTGAACTTAATATGTGTTTGTATGTTAAGGTGTGTACATCCTGATTGGTGCTGGCAGTCTGGTGATGTTGGTGGGTTTTTTTGGCTGCTGTGGAGCTGTTCGGGAGTCTCAGTGTCTGCTTGGATCTGTAAGTTAAACATATGTAAACTGTCTATGCTTCATTGTGACTAATAAGGATTTGCTATTGCAGTTTTTTGCCTGTTTGCTCATCATCTTTGGAGCCGAGGTGGCTGCTGGAGTCTTTGGGTTTCTCAACAAAGACAAGGTTAGTCCCAAGTTACGTTTCTGTAAAAAGAAATAAATGACATGCATATGGAGAACAGATTGCCCAAATACGCATTTTTAGGTAGTTTTCAGATCCTAGAATGTAATGATGTCATAACTGTAAATGGGGGGGGGGCAAGAGCCAGTTTTCCCTGTTGATAACATTGTATTTTGGGATGAAATCTCCAAAAGGTAAATTTGTAAATGTTGAACCTGATATTTTCAATTATTGCCTAAACCCTAGAACTCACTGTATTACTACATAATTTTGCATTTTAACAATATTAATTTGAGCTGCCCCCCATTTGTATTAATATATCTGTCATATAGAATGCTGTAATGCCATCTGAAACCTAGGAACTGCTTATTCCCCATTCATCTAATGTGCACTCATCTTTGTCTGGTGGTATCCAGATTATTGTAGATGTTCAAAGTTATTATACATCAACTTACAACGAAAGCAGCAATGGCACACTGATCAACTCCTATCAGAAAATAGTAAGTGAGAAAAAACATACCTCACTCTGAACATGTTGTTTATATGAAATTATGTAAGACTTCCTCTCCACTTTCAGCTGAACTGTTGTGGAACCAAAGCTAATCCCTGCCCTGATCGGAAAACAGATATAAAGGTAAAATCTGTCAGCGCTTCCAAAGAAAACATACTGTTCTCTCTGTTCTGCTGCAGCACCACACATCCGGCTGCTCAAAATACTCCTGAGCTGTACTCATGTAAAAGCACAACATGTCTTAGTGCAAGTAATCAAATTTGAATTGAGATCTAGATTCAGTCATGTTTATTTGTCAATGATGTTTGTTGTTTTTATATTCTGTCAGTAATTGCATGTGGTTTGGAGCAGAGTTTAAACTTTGGTGAACTTTTATTTTGTTTCTGAAAAATGATTCATTTTTTATTTTTCTGTCTTATCACACAGCCCTAACATATAGATAGTATTACGCTTATTTCAGAAAAAAAACAACGTATAATCTGTAGAATGTACTTTGTGGTGTTTGCAATTGCCCACTTCTACCATATGTCTGCATCTATAGCCAGTAAATCACAATTACTACCTCTGTTACTTGCTTATTTTTTGTTGTTCATGGTCTTTTTCCAGTGTTAAATCATAGAATGTAAAGCATACCAGACATACGAAATGTTGATTGACACTGTATATCTTTTGTAAACGCAGGACTGTGAGACAGGCATTAAAGACTTCTTCAACAATAAGCTCTACATAATTGGATACGTAGGCATCGGCATCGCTGGAGTCATGGTAAGATCCTATTAGATGTCTGCTCTCTCAGTGTAAAAGGTTAATAAAGTTCAAATACTTTTGTTAGATAATTGGGATGATCTTCAGTATGGTCCTGTGCTGTGCTATTCGTAACACCAGAGAGGTCATCTGAGGACGACAGACCACTACTTCATTCCCAAATGACATTGTTAAAAACTCACTCACTGACCATAGGGACCCAAAATTAAAAAGTGTGGCATTCATGTGGTTCCCAGAAAGTCTGGAAATAACCCTGCTCAAGTCAGACCATGAATTTATAAGTTTACACTCAAACAGTTTATTTTATGTCTTTTTTTTAAATCTGTAAAATATTTGTAAATTATTTATTTTCTGAATTTTATTTGTGAGATGGTTAACATTAAATTGCATGCTAATTCATAACAATACACCTCTTAATTTTCAGACATTCAAAGATGAAGCATGAGTACAGTGCAATGAAATAAACATAAGCTCAGATAAAGACATACTTGAGTTCAAACCAGCATATAGATTGCTTAACCTAAATTTAAATCCCACATATTTGATACATTTAAGTACCAGAATTCAGTTTTACTTTTCAGTCCACAGAGGCCACAAAGTCTTTACAATAACATTAATGACCCCTGTACCTCTCCTTGTCTTGTCCCTGCAATGTGTATGAAGTGTTTTTCCTCATGGTCGTGTGGTTCCTGCCAAAAAACTGTGGGCCTCATACTCCCACTCCTCACATAGTGCCACTGCTGCGTCAGGTCCTTTTCACACCACACTGACACTGACCCCTGGACTGTGGGAAACTCAAGTCCTCAGGAGGAATCTGAGGCCAAACTAGCTTAGTTTGCTGTATCCACTGCAGACCTGGTTGTGTTGTGTTACCTGAGAGTCCAGCCTTATACATGTGTATTTGTGTGTGTGTGCGCACGAGCGTGTGTGTGTGTGTGTCTGGGGTCTGCCTTTCTTATGGGGGACAAAAATCAGGACACCATGAACCGGTTAGGCGAGTAGTGAAAGCCAATATGAGTGAAGAGCCAGGTTGTTGCTGTGTCCCCAAATATTAAATGCTAAAAATAAAAAAAATATATTTCATCTTGCATAATTATGTACACATTTGTCAAAGTTCTGGTTCTAACCCCCTTCACACACACTTGCTCAAATTCACGTAAGCAATTCAATCTTAACAGTTATATTTGCTGTCTGTAGCTCATTATAGACCTTGCCTGAGATCCTCTGGAACCACTGCTTATATTTGATTATTTGTTGTGTTTTGTGCAAAATGCTTTGATACACTTGCATGTATTGGAGACTTATGTAAGACTGGTCTTCTAGACAAATGGAGGATGCAGATCATGTTGTCATGTTTGCAATCTAAACATACGCTACAGGCCAATCAACTTAAAGATGCAGCTGTAGTAATGAATGAGTTTTATTTTGTGCCTTAACAATAATTCCAACAAAAACTATGTTAAATTAACCACTTTTCTTGTTCCACTAACTTAAGTGTCAGTAATACAATATGCTGCATAGAGAATGTGTGATTTGTGTAGTTTTATGTTGTTTGATGTTTTAAGTAACTTGCATTTGTACAGCTTTGTAGCATCACCGATTCACATTTGGAATAATCTTTCTCCGTGCCTTACTTTGATAACACGTGTATACACATTGAAGTTTGAACATTGAGCAGACAATAGTTTGTACGATGAATAGCAGAGTTTGTTAGTTTGTTTGTATATTTCATTTAAACTGTAAAGCACATAGTGATAAACCTTGTTACCACTTCACCTTTTATTAGCAACTCAAGGTTTTGTTGTTCATAACAAAGGTACACAACCATTTCACAGTGTGTATATGAGGAGTATTTTTAGTTTTGTGTAGGCATATCTGATATAGTGTACTGTACACAATCAAGCTCAAGCTCTTTGAAGTTGTGTTATTTATTTGTGATACCATTCCAAGATTCTCAGGATAAAAGTAGATGTTTGGAATTAAATAAAATTTGTAAAATACAATACTGTTTTGTATTATTTATTTATTTAATATGGAAGTTACTGAAAATACAGCCCACTGCTCTTTTTACAGCCTACACTACACACTTTTCCTGTGCAGAAAAGAAGCTCCTCTGTTACCTAATGTAACTTATATGACTGCTAATTTTAGCCCCTTCATTAAACATTACATTGAATAGTGTGCCAAATATTAGAAAAAGACTATTTTTAATCACAGCCATGTATTTCATGTCTTATGTGGGTTTCCAGGTTTAGCAGTCAGTAGCACGAGCCAGGATATCGCCTTCCCCAACTTGAGTGCACCCCACAGCTGAATATTTGGTTGAAGGGATGAGTGTATCATGCAGAGGAGCCTAGAGGACTATCCAGTGTTAAGTTACCCAACACTGCAGTATGGGCATGTCTCTAACACACTCTCACTCACTGCGTGTTTGAGGCCTGTATTGCATCAGAAAATATTACCAATGAAACACAGCACACACAAGTTTTTATCATGTTCAATTTATTGAGCATTCACATACAGGTATACAGATGTATATTCTTGTGAAACGTCTCAATTATGAAGATTTTTCAAAATGTCTTCAGGTACTCTCACTGTTGGAGAAAGTATAAAATGTATAGAGTACATATTTACAATAATAGTTACTCCTGCAGCATTGGCCAGTGCAGGTGACCACAGTCAAGTAACAGAAAGTGGCCAATACTACGCCTATATTTCTGAAGACTTGGTCCCAAAAGCAAGCAAAAATATTAACAGGCATTAAATGTTCAAGAGATGTTGTCTGCCACTGAATTGTAGTTATATTTTATATTTTATTTGTATAGATTATGACTGTGACATGACACAAACATGGATACCAGCCACCCATGTTACTAAGGGTAACAGTAATGACCACATAGCTGGACTCTCCTACTGTAACAGTAACTATATCTTGTAGTCATGGCCATGGCAGAACAGCTGTTTTGGGTTACTGTCAAAAGTAAGTGATACGCTTCATCCAGAGCTTTGGTAAAAGGTAAAAGTCTGGACTGCTAACGGTTTAAGATACAGTCCACAATAGGCTCCTCTAAATCCCTACCCCACACAGAGATACTTCAAGGCATAATATATTACACTGGAACAGCACCCCTCTGGTCCCTTCAGCCGTCAGAAAAACTCCAATTAAGTGGTACACAGTAATAGAGGCTAAGTCCATGGCTACACCCAGGGCAAAGCTGCCCCTGATTTAATGTGTCGGTAAAATGATCAAAAACAGCTTGTTTATGAAGAGTAAATGCTTTGAGGGGTGTAACCCAGCAGGATCTCTCCAACTCCCACAAAGTACACCACTTGGGCAATACCAAACAGAGGGGCAATAACCAGGGCCCGGCAGCTGGCTCCCTTGAGGAACGCCCCAGGACCCTCCTTTTTCAAGATATTCCTGCAAAAGAGGAAACAGTAGAAATAAAGTAGTAAGTAAAACATTTAGGGCAAACAAAAAGACTTTGTCACTTTGTTGTGCTGTACCTAGCACAGTCCACTATTCCATTGTAGGTTTCTTCATTAGCTCCCTTTTTGAGGGATTGCAGCCTTGTCTTAATCACTGTACAATAAAGAAATCAATAAATTTATTAGAACAGTAAGTCTAAAAAAAATAATTGTTTTAACTAAATGTAAGCATATAATTGACCCACCATCACAAGGACTGACAGTCACAGCAGCCACACATCCAGCCAGACAGCCAGACATGAACGACCAGTAAAATGGTACAGATCCTTCAGGTGAGGACTGACCCAACTGGTGCAGGTGAGCAAACAGAGGAAAATATACCACAGAGAATGGGATATCCCTGTGAAAATGAATTAAATAAGTTAGAATTATCTTTAAATCCATAGCATCAGTTCCACTTTAAGTATTAAGTATGAGATTATGACACAGACCTCATCAAAGTAGCACCAAGTCCCTTGTACAGTCCAGTGAATCCTTTGGTCTTCAACAGCTCTCTGGTGATCTGTGTGGCTGATTGTCTCATCACAGGCGCGGGGCTGGTGTTATACGAACGGCACAAAACTGCGCTGGTCCCACCCATTTTCAGAGTTGTTACCACACTCGGCATCACCCTTTGTTGGGCAGCTGAACATTTGAACTGTTTTTTAGTTACCATACTTTTAAAGACAATCCTATGAGGCATAAATGGTAGTAGAGGCCTCACCAATTCTGCCAGCATCTTGCATCTGGATCTTGAGCATCTCCATTGGTGTTGTGATGGTGACTTGGCACATGCCTGCGCAGCACCCAGCCAGCATCTCCTTAAACACTGTGAGTTTGCTACTGAAATACAAAATAAACATGAGTGTGTGATCAGTGCATATTCAGTGCATGAGAATGGATTTCTAACAGTTTTCCAAAGCATTACTCACCCATCTTTGCTGAGCTGGTGGCGGAAGAAATCATTGGCAGCAAGTTTGATGGCCTTCTCCGGGGTCACTAGTGTAAGATTTACAGCAGCACCTAAAATATATTTAAAAGAAAAACATATTATAATTATGTAAAGTGTGATGATAGTATGTTTCAAAATTTACAATTTCTTATGATCCACTGTATTATAATATAAGTCAACCAAAGAATAAGGGTAATGTGATCTTACCTCTGTACATGCCAAAGTAACCCTCAGATCTAACTGTTTTTATCAGACAGTCCATCCTGAAAGAAATTACAGTATTAAATTTATGATCTACAAATGGATCAACTTTGATATCCATTGAAATAATTCATAGTTTTGATAATAATAACAGTTAAACTATATTTAATCATACTGAAGCTTACATGTTCTTATAGATTTGCTGCCCGCTGCGCTGATTTTGCAGTCGTGTCTTAGCGAGGTCTATTGGAAACACACAGGTGACTCCAACCATCCCTGCTACTCCTCCATTGATCAGTTTGGCTGGCAGGCTGCCAAAACACAACACAAAATACTGTCTGTCATCTGGTAAACACAATGGTAGACTTTATATGATGCAAATATTATGGTCATTGACTAATTATTGATTATAATATATTGATTATTTTGTCAAAGAATCCACCATATAGTATATGGTTGTTATATTAACAGTGTAATTTAAGGCTATATTTGAAAATTAATTTAAAACACATACATACACAGCTTCCTAATAGCACAATATCATTTCAGTATTCAGTTGCATCAGATAGAAATACAGCCCCTTACCTGATCTGTTGTTGCTGGGCCATTGTCCGTTGTTAAAAGCTGAAAAGTTAGCTGAATGGAAATGAGACGGCCGTGGAGGGAAAGCAGGCAGAGAGTCCCCTTGGAGACACTGAGCAAGGCAAGAGTTGCAGCGAGCCTGGGTTATATATATATATCAGGCAGCCCTACAGATACTAGGGATAAATTCACCGATCTCCACCCCCAGTGCAACAGGCCAGGACACACAGCCAAGAGGGATCAACACACAAGCCAAAAGCTGGATCACCAGCAAAATGCACCCCAACTGCTGACTGTCAATAAGAAGCAGATAGTTGTGTGGTTACTGACTTTACTATATGAACACAAGAGCCATGAAAATAAATATAAATTTTAAAAAATTGATTGCATGAGATAGTGCCAAGGCCTGAGGTCATTTAAAGTGAAAGGAATTTGAAAAATATATCATAACAGAAAACATCAAGCCATAACTAAGCACATGTTTATTTTATATATAAAATGATTGGATGGGATTTTCCCCAAATCATCTGCCACCGATATTTACTTTGATATGCAAAGCACATTTTGCTTTGGTTAAGCTATTGTGTATAATTAGTAATAAAAATACAGTGTGTTGACGTGGAATGCTATATTTAGAAAAATACAGTTGTCCATGCAGCAAGATCTAAAAATACTTGTGTGAGTTGAGAATTGTAGTATTGATTCACTGTAAAATATAATACAGTAGCATTAGAGTCAAGTTAAAGATTGAATCAATTTTCATAATAACATGGCACTCTGTAATGTAAGTAAAGGTGACACATATATTCACAAAATAAAATTCACAATTTCAAAACTTCAATATATTCAAAATGCATATTTTTTTTATTATGATAAGAAAACAAACAAATACTGGATGCTACGACCCTAATAAATAACAATATAAACTGTTTTCTGTTTGAGTCTCCTCTCTGTGAATACTTAGGTTTCCTTGGGTGTATTGGTCCTTCTCTTTATCTTCCTGGTGGTTTCCATGCAGCCGTCATGAAGCATGCGTCTAGTGCGGACACAGTGGTGTGTGCGTGTGTCACAGCGTCTGCAGCTGCAGCGCTCAGCCACAGGGTAAAACAGCTGAGTCCCATTGAGAGAACAGGCAGGCAAATGTACAGGACGATACACCACAGACAGGGCCAGGCAACTGCGCTGGACCAAGAACTTTCTGCCAAATCGGCCTCTCAAGTTTGTATCCTGACAATAAGAGGGAAACAACTTGCAATTATTACAAAAGGCTTCATACAGTCTAAAAAATCTATATAGTATAATAGCATGATTACAAAAAATAAAATGAAATCTGCTACATTGCACAAATTTTGTTTTAATAATAATGTATCAATTAAAATATTAGATGTCTTGAACAGGGTCGGTGTCTTAATATGTTTTATTTCAAAGCTAACAGTAATAGAAAAAGTGCAGTTCTCAAAATGTAAACACATCATTATGCTGTTTATGGTAATATTTTCAGGAAATATGCATAATTTGAATTTGATAAAACATACATTTCATATTTATTGTTTGTCCATGTGGTGGGGTTAATTTTACACTTCTTCCCTTTCCTTTTTTGAGATAGGTTGTAATATACAGATGAAAAAAATACTATAATTGTTAAATGTTTTTCTCTATTTTGTTGCATGAACATACTCAAATTCATTCATGCATAAATATCATCAATCATTAAACAAAACAAAACATCTCCTGTGTCTTTGTATTAGTCACTCTTAGCAAAGAATAAACAAAACTATTGCTTGACAATTGCTTGTGAAAATTAAAAATTAAAATTAACATTTGTAAAGTCCTCACCTGAGTGTAGCAGAAGCCGCTGCAGATGGTGGTGTTGATGACCACGCACTGGTCACATTCGCTGTGTTCCATCCGTAAAGTGAAGTTTTTTGGGGAGCAGCACTGGCTCTCTCTCATCAGAGCACACAGCAGCAAGCACTTCAACGCCAACAGCCACATGCTACACATGCACAAACATATGCACTTCAGACTATACACTACACTCCAAATGATGATATAGGGGCTCAAGGGGCTATCCAGAATAAAGATAAATGTAGATATATACAAATGTCCAAAATAATATATATAAAAATAATTGAACATAAAATGAAGTTGTCACCTGTTGACGAGTAGCAGAGGTGAAAAGGCCAAATGAAAGATAATCTGTGAGTGTGGTCCTTGCCTGGTCTTTGAGCGACTCAAAACATTGAAGACGCTCGTCTGCTTTTTATGGAGAACTAATCCTCTCTGATCTCAGAGACTTTGGGTCGGGCCTCATATGTGACGGCTGTGCAAAGTGACACAGACATACACGTGGGTGAAGATGCTTTATGATCTATGATTATTAACGACAGCAGGTTATCCAAGTACACTAGTGTTTGCTCCATATGTAAGACAAAACTAACCAAGAACATGTGGATTTGGATATTTTCTTATTCTGCATTTGGTTTATCCAAAATGATTATGTATCTGAGACCTGAGAAGTTCAATAAACATTAGATTAATCTATCCAATTTTACAAAATATAATTTATTTCAAAAGAAAATATTATTAGGTCACTAATACTGTTCTAGTTTTACTTTGTCTCTTATAGTCCTGCTAAGATAAATGAATTTCACAATTAATCACAACAGGTGTACGCATCCATTTGTATTTTGACATTTATTCATTTAAATATAGCTTGCAGTGATTGAAGGGCAAGCTCTCAATGCTATTCTATTGAGATTTTTTTTTTAATCACTAAGGATTTCTATTGTTCTTCTATTTTCTTGCTCTACATTTGTCATCTTGGGTTACATAGTTACATAAGAAAACCATCAGATAATTCTGTCAAACTGGGCCGCTCGCAGTTCATCACCTCCAGTATCTGTCCTGACACACATTTTAGTTTAAAATAGTATAGTAACTAGTGCACCATTACCTTTACATTACAAATTAATATTGTCAGTTAAATCATACATAGATATTATTTTAAAAAATCTCACAAAATCCATGTTTCTACAAAATGGTTAAAATTATTTACAGTGATAACAAGCCTGATATGTTTGAGTGCCCTCATGTTCAACCTGGCCTTGTTTTGGTGCATGTTAGCATGACTTCAGAGGGTGTTAGAGATTTGGAGATGGGGACATACACATGTTCAACAATCAACTCTGAACTGGGTCAGTCTCACAGAGCTCTCATGACTGGGCCATGGCCTTAGGGCACGAGGTCATCACTCACTCTGTGCTAATGCTACACTTTGAAATAATATTACTGCTACCTAAGTAACAATTCTTTGAAACATCTAGGCCACTAATTTGATGGGTCACGCCAAACAAAATCAAAACACACTCCAGTGAGGCTGAGCCAGGCAATGACCAGTATAATAAGTTTAAAGGGGCCATATTACACTATTTTCTGATATATGTTGTATGCTGTTTCCTCATGAAATACATACCCAGATTTGTGCTTTCTTTCATTCACACATGTTTAACACACAAAAAACCCTGCATATTTAGGCTAAGTTCTTCTCTCAAACAGAAAACACTCTGTTCTACCATATGATGTCATGAGGTAATATAGGAGGTGCGCCACTGTGTTTTTAAACTCCATACATCTTCACCAAAATCACTGGGATCATTTCAGCCTTGGAACAGACAATCTCTACTAAACAAAAGGTATAAGGCAGCTGCTCACTTGAGCACAAGGAGGATGTAGAAGAAGTTTTGTAGCGTGACTTTTTAGGCGGTGATAATGCATTATGGGTATACAAATCATCTATACTTCCATGATATAGACTAAAAATGAAAAGCCACGGGATGATCAGAGGATAGTTTTGTAATTTTTATCTGTAAGTTCAGTATTTTTACGTAAATCTACTTGGAGCTGTCATGATCATTTTAAGACCTTAAAATATAAAAATAGGGTTTGAGTATTCTGACATGGGCTCTTCATGCTAAACACTGGTGAAACTTGTTTTTACTCGACACTTTGAAAAATACCTTTTGTTTCTTGTTTCCTGCTTCGATGCTGACCTCATGCTGTTTATCGATCATCATCAGACCTCAGACCAGCAGGTGGCGTCCAAGGACAGACTCTTTCTCCTCTTCTCTGTTTGCCATTGGCGGGTCTGTTTTACACTTGCTAAGTGTATTTGTTTCAGAGGCACCTGTATCCAAGCGTTCGGCTTTGGCTATGGTCGTAAGACACTGGAGGAACGAGGGACTAGTAAACTATTTTATACTAGCTTAAATCCATCTGTTAATGTCACCAATTGAAACATTGAGACAAGAAAATAGTTTGGAATTTCACAGGTCATCTTGTCATGTTGAAATGATAAAAGTTAGTCAGACCTATAAAATGATCATCTATAAATGCTTTATTTCAGATCCTGGTGGAGGCTGTGTTGAAACTCTGATATTTTGTGAATACAAGGAGATGCTGCTCTGTGGGCGTCTGACTGCTACATTCTGTGGCCAAGGTAAAGCCTTGTCAAAAAGAAGAGATAAAGCAGAGACATCATCTGCTAAAAGGTATTTGTGTAAAATTGCATATGGTGCTGTTTTTAAAGTAGGACATGCTCTTATGAATTGTTGTTGCCGCCTAGTGAAAGCAGGGATCTTTGTATTGATCTTGCTTCTATACCGGAGGAAGGTGGAAATAGGTCTGTCCTGAAACAGACACTCTTAATAATAACCTGAGATCTCGAGACCCCCAGCTGATGTCACTGCTGTGTCCCTGTCCTAACTTTTGTTCTACCTCCACCTCCACTGACAGGGTCTCACCGGGCCCTGAATCAATCTCACACTGCTTAAAATAATCAGCCTAGATCAGACCAGGAGCTTTTTAGAGACATGTACATCTCCTACACTCCAGGGCACCAGTGGGGTTTTAACATGTACTTTGGATTTCATTTTATCCACTTCTAATTCTGGAGGTTATGAGTACATACGAAGTGGTATATTAATCCAGTGTCTATAAGCACTGCTAGATCTATGAACTATCAGCCAGAATTTTGCCAATTTTTCCATACATACAGCATAATTACATACTGACATGGATTGCAATGAAAAGCTAGTAACTACTAGGGATGCACCGATCCGATACTGTTATCTCATATTGGCACCGATACTGAAAAATTTGCTGGATCGGATATTGGTTTAGCCGATATCCTGGTTGGATATATAAATTGATGTATTTGGACTATTTACTGGTTGTAGTCACCCCAGAAAGTCTGATAATGTTTGAACTTTTGTTTATGCAGAGCTGTTCTTTGGTTACTTGAGATAAATAACAGCTACATTTTAATGGGTTTTGCTTTCTTTTAGTTTAATTTAAAGGAAATAAATGCTGTTTTCAATCTCTGCACTGGTATAGATTTATATCGAGTACCTGCACATACTTAAAGCACAGTATTGAAATGGTATTGGACCTCAAAAGGCTGGATAGGTGCATCCCTATCTACTCCCTATTTAGCAGATGCATGCATGTAGCTGGCATATATTTATACATTATGGCTGCCACACCCAGCACTAAGACCTTGTAAAAGCAGTATGATTCATCTCTAAACTCCTATTCTCTAAAGGTGAAATGCCTCTCCTTAATTGGTGACCCTGTCTCTCTGGAGTGACCCGTGGAGGGCTGAAGAAATACCATTGATCGTGTGGGATAAGAATAGCCCAGTGCTGTTCACCTGTGGCCGCTGCTGTCTCCTTCCTCCCAGTTTGTGTAATTAGTGACAGCGCTCACCGGGATGCAGCTAAACTTCTTCAAACAATACTTCAACCTTTGTCTAACGAGTGCTACTGCCATTTACGCTGCCCCCCCACATGAAACTGAGAAAGCACTGGAAAAAACAACTATGACTCCAGAGATAGAAGTTGATTTATAAGGCCCTGGTGGTTCATATTTGTGTTGTTTTTTATGCTAATTCACAGTAACTGGTGAATTTTGAGTTTGCTATTGATTTTTAAAAGAATGCAAATTTGTCCCAACTCTGAACGTACGTCAATGAGGCAATACCCGACCTACATTAGAACTCAAATATAGCAGCGCCAATTAAGGCCAGCTTTTCTATGCTACGTTACACATGTCAGAAAACTCATTCTTTATTCCTCTGTTATTTACTGTTTGCTGACAGATTGGGCCTATTGGTAACATCTCTAGTAATATTAAACACATACATTTAGTGTGTACAGTGTTTAACCTATTTAATGGTTCATTGCTCAATACAAAACAATGCAAAATTCAACCTTTTTTCTCTTTACTCCTCTTTCTGAGTGGAACAGAACAGTAATTGCAGCCTGCCTTTGACCCAAAATGCCCCTCAGTCCAGTATATAAAAAAGCTTCTGGAGAACTGAGAGAAGAAAAAGAGACATTGGTGAGTGGTAATGTACAATTTATTGCAAATTCACTCCATGAAATATTACCATATTTTTTATACTTTAGTTATTAGAGCCCTAAATAATACATTATGATATTCTGTCAGCCCAGCGTGTACCCCACCTTATGTCCAGGCTGTTGAGTTATTTTAACCGGGCAGAAGCCAGATGGATATCTGTAGCACTTTTGATTTGAGTGTGTTCGGAAAAAATATTGCAGGAACTCATCTTGCTCTGCAAAGTAAGGGTTATTCTCCAATCACACAATCTCTAATGTAAACGTCCAAACTTGATGAATGAGAGTAATTTGTGCTAAATGCAACATTAGACCTTCAGTACATTTAACTCCTGTTTTCAGTTGAGAATAAGGTATCTCTCCTTTGCATAAAATAGAATCAAATATAATTACACTATACTGTTTCCAAGCCAAGATAAATTAGACATGTGGCAAAATAAAGCCAAATCAATATACAATCGGAAAAAGTCAAGAGATAAGGGATGATAGTGTTAGGCACAGTTTTTCATATATTGTGTAGCTCTTGTGAGCGGTGGTAAAATACATTTTAGATTAAATCTGGATAGAAGACACATTATTTAAAGACCAGTGCTGACTAAGGAATGGTACTGAGTGATGGAGTGGGAGAAACAGGCTGGCACCATGAAAGGATAGGGGGCGAACAAGATGGCACTCGGAGAAAGGAGGGGTGGGGGTGGGGGGGCACTTCCGACAAAAGGAAGTGGGACTTATTCCAACAAAACACATGGTGTGCGTTTATGTGCGCAATAACATGGTGAGATAGTACAAGTGCACATGGTCACAGTGCTAATAGCATTAAAACCCTTGATGCCAAATTTAAAATACACCCTACAAGGCAAATGGGTTGTTGTTGGAGGATTTGAATCTAAATAAAGCCTGTAAGGGTGGAAAATTTGCATGAAAATCCATGTACCAAATCATTAGTTCTCTGTAAGGCAAAGCAATTAGAAACATTTAACATAAGTAGTGGATGCCCCAGCAATTTTTAAGGATGAATCAAATGATAAAAACTGTTTTGAGATATTCACAGTATACTATTGTTTATTCCCAGCGCTAAAGCTTCTGCATGAATTTGAATTCATAAATGCAATGTTGGCTTGGTAAGTGACAAAAAGGGCATAAGTACAAATATGAGGATAAAAGCTGACAAATATTAATTCAAAATGAAAAGAGAGGTAGATTTGTGAGAGCTTTTTTAAGATGAAGGTTGGCCTTGAGTCCTGCTGCTTTTCAAAATACATTTGGCATAAACATGATATTGCAAGTGTTCAGAGGCACATATATTTTCCAACCACTGTTCTAATGCAAAATGTTGGCTTTTTTTTGGATAAATGAGGTTGTAGGCCTTTAGTCATTTTGACATTTAATCAGTCTATGGTTTCTTACAAAACTGAGATTTGTGTTAGTCTTCTAATCATTTTATTTACCTCATTTAGCAGGATTTAAACAGACCACAGCAAAAAGGAGTGAAGAGTTAACTGAAGATTTTTGTTTTATATTAATGCACTGTTAAAATTTTCTGCATAAATAGTTTTTTTTAGCATGAACTCTTGGTCAGTTTGGGTCAGATACATAGAAATATACATAACAGTGTTAAGAGCTTTTGCCAAGGCCACTTTTTAGTTGGCTAATCGATCGGTATGACATGTCTGTAGTCGACCAACAATTTCTCTAATAGACTATAGCCCTACTAATAAACACCTTAATGTCTGATGGCTGGTGTACAACTTTTAGCCTAAACGTTTGTTTACATAAACTAGATAGATCCTTGAACTCTGTGATGGCTCAGTATTTCACACAGATGTCATGTTCATCTGTTAGATAAGTAATTGTCTTTGTTCCTAATCAAATTCACATTCTAATGCTTGAGTTACTGTCTGAGTTCATTCCTCAGCATGAGTTTCTTCCTCTGAATCCAGTGTAGTGCCTATTAAGTGTGCATTTAGTACAGAGATAATATTCAAATTGAATGGTCAGGGGCAGCTGGAGAATAAGCCAGTGTAGCAGCTGTGTCACATAATTAGCAGATTATAATGTCTTTTGCATAACATAATATTGTAATTATAATTTGACTAAACTTTGACTGTAATTGCTAACTGCCAAGAGTATTTTTTTTTTTACGTATTTGCTGTATTCTGACCCTCATGCACCTCTGTATGAATGTATTTTCAGCAAATTGGAGCCGCAGCAGACTCAAGGTCTCCAGTGAGTGTCTGTAAGCAGCACCTACATAAAAGAAATAACTGTGCATGTGCAGAAGAGACAAGATTGGTCCAATGAAAGGTAAAACAAAATGAATCCACGCTTACATTTTAAACTTAAATGGTATAACGCAACAAATTATTTTCATGTTTTAAGTAAATATTGCATCATGTTACATCGAGCGCCAGTGGACCAGCACTACACACAGCCTCATTTTATCTACAAATCTACTTTTCTGGTTAGAATTATTATAATAATTGTGTTAATGTCCTCCACTTGGTTTTGTAGGGAATGATATGCATGAATCTAATTTCCATCCTCTTTTATAACATACTAACCTCATATGCTTTCTCTACATCGAAAAATCTCCTCTTTGGGTCCTCACCTAGACCTTATTCTGAGCCTTTGTAGCTTCAGGATCCTGCTACCACATATTCACTAACCTACACCATATTTTATCCGTATTATCTGGTTTGATCTCCAAAACATCTTTGGTTGCAGCCATAGCTGACTTATTTAGGACATCTCCCACATTTATAGGTTTATGGGTTAAGGACGAAGGGATGAGAAGACTTTAAACTACACTTTCCCAAGATGGAGTGAACCACATTTCCCAATAAATCTGGGGTGGATCTAAACATATGTTCTTTATTTCCTATATCATTTTATGTTACATGACAAAAGTGCCATAGTATTGCATGACTGCTCATAACTGAAAAACTTATTAACAAATACTGACCTAAACACACTCTGTTTTAATTATGACTAAATAACCCATGGAATAATGCACCTTAATCGGTCTTAATGACTTGTAATAATTGTAAAAATCCAAAAGCTCACACACTATTGGTCATGGGCTAATGTAGATTAATGAAAGTAAACAAATTTCCCAAAATAGCCTGCAGGGGATGTACACTACGCAGCTGTGGCAAAACCCTGTGAAATAGAAGTGACAAATTTCTCCACGCGCCTATTAAAGATGCTAGATTCGGGTGAGATAAACATTTGTATGTAATGGTCCAACAGATTTGTCATACAGCATTAGCACATGCATAATAGAGAGGATTAAACACTATAACCTACATGTGATGAGAATCACTTTATAAAATGTTGTATCAGCTTCCTCCCAAAGTCTGAAGGCATGTTTGTTGAACATTAGAGTAAAAAAAACCTTGTCAGTTCTTCAAAACAGACCTCTATTAAACATCTCGTCCTATATCAGAAAATACACACAGACATCAATTTTAGTAGACTGAGAAGTGCTTAATTGTCACATTTTTATAACACTTTTCAACCTCCTTACTGCATTCAAAGTGCTTTAAATCAAAGAACTATTCACACACATACATTCACGATGTGCACACTGCATGCAGGTGTATTGCCCGAGGACACAACAACACGAGTCGGTGCAGTGGGCAAACACTCTAGCAACTATAAGGAAACTACTGCTTTCATCCCAGTAGGCTAAAAAAGAAATCAAACAGAAGAATAGTAAGGTCAGAAAATAACATTTCATACAACTTCTGAACACCAAATATGCCCAAGGTTCATTGTAGAGTTCATTTCAGAATTCTTACTACTATTACTATGAATAACTGCTATAAAGTACAAACAGTAATTACAATTGTACCATGTGAAAAAGGCATTTTAATTTCCAGTCCAGAATGCACAGGCGAGCTCAGAGACAGAACAGAAACCCAGGAGTTAGTTGTTGCGTCACTACAGTAGCCATCTGTCAGTACGCAGACACACACACTTGGCTCTTGTCTCCTCAACACACTTCATACACACAAGTCAATATGTGGCCACAAAACAAACCTACGCTGTGCAACTGGGACATTGTCAGACTCTTAAACCTGGAGGAACACAGAGTCCTACTTTTAGGATCCCTACAAGCCCTAGTTATGTCCTTATATTTGTTATTTTTTTATTTTCACCCCAGACTGGCTTGCACAACTCCACATGGAGAAAAGAGGTTGTGAGATTGTGGTTTGGGTCTGATTGATGGCATACCCTGGATTTGTGTGGCCTTCACAGTAATTTAATCTAACTTAAATTTATGGAAGTATCTTTAATTCCATCACAGTTATTATGAGTGCTGAGTTTCATGAATAATTGCTGTTAGTACACATGGAACTTTTTGTCTCACTTAGGTTTGGTTTAGATCAGTTTGTTTGTCTGTCGTTCCTTTATTTTACTTTAATTTAGTATTTAAATTAGATCTACTACTTCAAATAGTAGAATAAGAGGGATAAGTTGTGTATTGTGGTGGGACATGGAGTGACGGAAGTGGCGGACTCAGGAAATTTAAGATCACAGAAATGCAATAATGTCAAATGATTTGAGTTTCGATCAATCGTAAGAAAGATTGTAATTGCAATATTGCCTGCATATTACAACCCTGAAAGCCCAAATAGGCCAAAATATTATTATATTATTATTATGTTTTATGTGTAAATCAAATTTTTAATGGCTGTGTAGCACAAACAAAATAGGAACAGTTGGTCAGTTAGTCAATTTTAAAGACCATTTTAGTCATTTAAATATATCAGGAGTGCCAAATACTTTCTAAAGTCATGCATCTATTAAGAGTTTTATCATTTTCCTGTCCAAGAGGTGAACACAGATTTCTCTCCAAAGTTGTTTTTTTCCCTCTCTTAACATTTAGCTTCCTTCCCACATAAATCTGTCTGTCCATATCTGCCAGAGAGTGATGTCATTGTTCACCAGTCACTGTACGCGTGCGTCTGTGTACGAGATGAAGAGATGAATGTTGAGGTATAATCCCGTAGTTTAATCCGGACCACTCCCAATCATCTGCCTCCTCAGCACCAGACAGCAGCAGCAGCAGCCATATAGTGCACACATAATAAAGCTTACATTCCTTCATGACAATCCAGTTTTGATAGAAGACATTGTAGACGCATATACACCAAAAGACGCTTACTTTTATTGTTAAACTCTTGAAAGCTATTTGAGGTAGCTGAGCACTTTAGAGATGGAGAGATACACAAGCTTTTCTTTTCCAATGGGGTGGGAGACAGTGAGTGAGTGAGCGAATAGGAGAGAGGGCGCCAGTCAGGAACAAGCATCAACTAATTCCCATCGAAGATACGGAGCAGACAAAAGCTGCGCCAGAGCAGAAGAGCATCCCTGTTACTTCCTTTACATTACTAATATAATATCTCCCGCTGTTTTTGTCCGAGTTTTGCCAAGACCTGAAGTCTGAAGAGAGGAGCGGCAAATTCACCCAGAGCAACGTCAAGTCAAGGTAAGCGAAAAACACAAAACGTGATTTTTTCAACTTTTCCTCGGTTTTAGGTCTTGTGAAATAACCAAAGTCATGCATTTTAATGGTCAAAAATATGTGGTGATTCGTTGCCGTGTGCGGGAGCAGAGGACGGTGCGCGCTGTCCAGTCCCCGCGCGCCTAACCGCTGCAGTGGAATTCAACAAGACAAAGTGACTTGGCTGGATACGGGCAAATAAAGTTGTGGTACTCATGAGAACAAAACACATGTATGAATTATACATTGACTGTTGCTAATACAATGTAGAGACTTTGGCTTAGTTAGTCGTTTATTTAGATTCCTGCTTGCCAGTATTTTTAGATGCGTAAAACGTGATTATGTTACGTATGGCCACAGTTAGCGTTGATGAAAATGACTGATAGGTTACTAAACCTGGTCTGTCTGTATTGTTGAGTTTAAATACACATCTAGTTGAGGTTAAATGAGGCCGTGTATTTTATTCTGTAGTTTATAGCACTGAAGCTGAAAGCATGTGATCCAGTGGGAGGCAATGAGCCATGATGATGTGGGCTAATAGATATGAACAAATGTATTGATGTAACGGTTTGCACCAAAGCACTTGTTTTTTGTACTTGTTAATGTTGCAATAACACAGACTAATGTAACATTGAAGGACGCTTTGAAATATGTGGATCTTAAATTCCCAAGTGGTGTGAATTAGATCTAGTGTAGGCAGTAAGTTGTTTATGAATGGCACAAGTTATTCAAAGTAATATTACCATTATCCTAAAAATCTTTTTAAAGGTTTAAAGGTGCACTATGTAACTTAATTTACTGGTGGAGGGTCCGCCACTTGCTTGTCTTCATGGTGATGATGCTTTGCCTGGAATGCCTCACAGTATGACAATGGACTTAATTAGTGGGTTTTGACAAACATGCATTCTGACTATGAGCAGGCTTGCCTTCTCCATAGATCTGACATGTAACTTGGCTTGGTGGCATCACTTGTCTTCCTCCATGAAGACAAGTTTAATTGCATACTGGTAAAGCAATAAGATTTCCATGTAGACAGGTGGTGGACCCTCCACTTCCAAAACAATTGAGACATTTCATGTCTAAAAAGCCTTTGAGTAGAATAGCTTTAGACACTGCCATTGGCACAAAGTGAAATAAGATTTTCTTATTCTCATAGGAGCTGCATACAGCATTACACTTTCCTGTTACTATAGTTTTAATTATGCATCAAATACTCCAACCATTATGCATTTTATATAATAGGCCAGTGTATGGACTGCTATTGAACTAACTATAGTAAGAGGACCCTAAAAGAAATAGTACGAGTTGTATGTTTGTTTGGAAAAGCTATGCACGTTCATAAATATAGAAGATGTGTTTCACTTTGACAGAAAGTAGCTTATTTGCATGGATGCAAAGATCACTCCATGCTGGCCTCAATAACTTCTTATAACATGTGCAACTGGATAAACAAGGAGAAGAATCCACATTGAATTTCGAATGGACTACACACTGTACTTTCCATAGAGAAATAGCTTGCAATAGTGTCGTATTTAATTGTGCAACAAGGTTGCCAAAAATGGGGCAGGCAAGAAGCATGCTACTTCAGACATGTGTAAGAGATGTGTTTCCCAAAGTGTACAGTCTAGTTTTAATCTGAGAAAAGATATTTATTTTTACAGAGTTTGTGTAATGTGAGTGCAAGCTGCCTCATGACAGCATTTATGGGAGGTTCACGCATCGCTCTTGACTCAACTTCACACAAACCACTGGGAGCCCTTCTGTTACCTGTGGAGCAGTTAACTGAATCTACTTAAATCCAAATTATTGGGCTTTAGACTTTACGTGTTTGTCTCTGTTTCTCTAGAAGCAAACAATGAGTATATTACATTAGGTCTGTCCCTCTTTTATTTCAAGAGCTTATAAATCATAATTGTATGGTTTCACACTAACAGATAATCTGGACAAGGTTTTAAGATCAACACATTTCAATTCCCCTTGATAAGTCTATTTCAATTCAGAAGGCAACTGAAAGCTGTTAATTATGCTGCCATAAAGGGAAAAGTTTCCACCTGAAATGCACCTTGTTTGGATGATGAGACTCTATTGCTCTCTGTAGTATACATGCTGTATTACCTATGCTACCCTTCCTCACTTAGCATGCTTGGGACTTCTAACTCCATGATTGCAACACGTTGTATCTGAATGAAAAAACATGCTTTTGGGGGTTTTGCATTTCTGCAGTGAATCCATGCTGTTATCTGGTCTGTGACAGACAGGTCTGTACTGTAAACCTTGAGGACAAGATGGTATGGATGAGGTGAGGACCTGCTCCTGAACCTAAGATAACAAAACTGTATTTAAAGCGCTCCTGGTTGTCCTATAGCCTTTTTAAGAGCCATGATGCACCGCCTCCTTTAATGATGCTTGGGTGTGTCTGTGGTCCTAATGCTTACAGTTTATTAGTGGCTCGGGCTTTGAAGTGTGTTGTGTTCTGTTTAGGCCATTGAGTTTACTTAAGAGGGACGGTATTCGATATTGACTACATTTCCTACAACATCTAAACATTTCAGTTTTATTGGCAGGTGTAATATGGTTATGAACTATAAGCCATCTAACATAAATTAGTTGTAGGATGTTTAAAGATGTCATTCTGCATACAGGCAAGAACCAGGAAGGCAAACTGCTTTCAAATCATCTGCACTCTTTTTATTGTGTAATGCTGCATTCAGAGCAAAACTCTGCTTCTGTCCTTGGTTTCCAGTATTCGAGCGAGATACTGACTACCACAGGCAGTACACTGAGTGGGAGTGTAGGTGTGTGCTGTTCTGTGGTCTCCAACCCTTTTTAAGTGCATTCAGGGCAGGTTATGTCCAAGTCTTATTCAGTCTTTTGAGAAGTATTGGATTCATTTTTCTGCTGTCTGACCTAAACTGTATTTCTGATAGCGAAGTGCTTTTATGCAACAGGATGCAATACCAGAAGGGCGTACACAGATGGCTAGATTTCTGAAATAATTTTTTTAATATATTTTAAGAATAGCTATTTTGTCACATTAACAGGAGCTTTTAAATAGCTAATCTGTATTTCTGGATGGGCATGAGGATAGAAGGCTCTGAGATCACATTAGCTCACTGGCTTTGACATGAAAATGTTTTTCAGAGCTGACTGATCACTCCGTTTTATGGTCTCAACTTAGCTAATTGGACAAGTGAAATATGATTGCTTGCATAAGCATCTTGATTACCAAACAGTTCAGTAGGGGTGATGAATATATCCATTATATTACTAAGCCAAAGCAAGTGGGCTTTGAGTAAACCCTTTTAATGGAACAGGTGTTGACAGAGGTGAACGACAGACAGAAATACAAGAAATATGCCCCTTTTTGAGTTTTTGTGTTACTGACACAGATACACTTTACACACTTTACATCATGCATTCAGAGAGCTTTCAATGTAAACTAGCTTTCAGATATTTGATCCACTCACTCACTTTATAGCAATTGCTACTGCTAATTGCTAATTTAGCAATTACTCTATAATTTAAAGGGAATCTGCATTTTTTATTCTATCAGTGGTATGTCCTCGTTTGAGCTTGTTCATTACTTGGGAAGTGTCATCGCTACGCAACAAATGAGGATCCTTCTTATTTATGATTTTATCAATAAGAAATCTTATGCCGGGTTTGTGTGGCCACTAGTGCGAGGCAGACATCAATATCCCATTATAATGTAATGTTAAGCCATAATAGAGTATGAAGTACATGCCCTCTTGTTGCTTTAATGTGAAAGTTTCCCACTGAGATTTGGCTACAACTGCTAACAGGCGAATGCGAACAGACATGGAGACTTAAGCTTTTGTGCAACATTTACCCAGATTTTCCCCTCACAGCAGCTTGGATGGCAGGTTACAGATGGCGATAGTCCCATATTAAGTGGTGCATCAATCTAACTTCTTGAACTTTTAAACTTGTAGAAAAATGATACATGTTGGTTACTTTGTTTAATCCAATCCAGTCTCAGCAGTTCAGCATGCATCCTAATTAAAAGAGTAATTATGATGTCATATTGGTTATACACTGCTTATACATTCCAAAAATGTTGCCATGGACAATTTGAAAGATTTTTTTATTTTTTTATTTTTATGACAGATGTTTCTTTATGGAAATATATGTTTTTATATTAAAGTAGTTAAAAAATAAACGCAGATAAAGCTTGACAGTGTAGTAAGTAATTGTTTGTGAATTTTGTAAGTCTCAACCATAGACTGTATAAAGAAGTGAACTAACACCCACAGCATTCATCTCTAGTCAAATGAAGCTCATCATGGCCTGCTGCATGGGGGCGAATTTGGAGCTGAGTTGGAATTTCAAACGCAAATATCATAGCAATCAAAGAGACAATCAGCATCAAGGCTGTTGAAGGTAACACCACTTCCCTTCTGCACCACTGGTTTGGCAGGGGGCGGGCGCTTAGCAACACTGTCAATCAAACCTGTTGCCAACGCTCGTGGGAGCGACCTCGGGGAAATAGGGCACCTTATTTCTCTATGTTATGTTCATATCTTGATTCACAGACAAAATAGCTAAATAAAACACCAGGATCACATAGAGTGGGTAATAAAAACATTTTAAGACCAAAATGAGGAGGCTCACAGCAACAGTTACAAAGCCAGGGGCGATGGTTTGTCTTTAGAAAGTGAATTGGAGTCAAATGCACCCACATGCTTACTTTTTATTTGGAATGCGACAGCTAGCAGATGTGGTTATGTCCATTTATACAGTCTATGATCTCAGCCTATATGCTTAACTTTCTTGATGTTCAATTGGTTTTATTGTAAATAACAAATAAATGCAGTTTATTTTAGTTTTAAATATACATCGTTGTATATTGTACTGAATGCTAGGATTGGTAACACTAGTTTTTACAAGTAAGTGTTAACTAATTTAGTAAACAAAAATCTATGTAGACTCCAAAAACAGACATGCATTGTACTGAGAGGAAATGT